ATTTGGGGTAATAAGGTGAATTTATTGAGGTGTCCGTACGCTAGACGCAGCCAGTCCTGCCAACAAAAACAGCATAGCACCCACCATGTATGGTAAGCCCATCCAGGTACCACCCAGCGTCATACCTTTTCGAAATGCATTGGCGAGCAACGGTCCAGCAATCATGCTCCCAATCCCCTGGACAAGAGCGATTGTGGTATTGAGTGTCCCGATTTGAGACTCCGCAACCAATGTTGTGGCCACATTGCGGAGGGTGGAATAGAAACCCCAGCCTAAGGCCAGAATGGATACACCAACGGCGAACAGCACTGGTTGATCGGCCACTGCCATGATGCCGAACCCAACTGCTAGAATAGCTGCACTTGCCTGTGTTATTCGAAGATCTCTGACAGCCGGAGAAAGGTACCGGTTCAGATAATGGGAGATAGTTGGTAGCAATAGAAGCAAGACGACGAGATCAATCATTCCTTTTAGAGAGATGAGAAAGCTTGCCTAGACATGATGTGTCAGTGACTACATTCGGCCCTTCGTCCGCAGCATCGCACCTTTGCCATTGTCCATGAGTAGCGCTTGGAAGCATATTGGATGATCAACTGGAGGGCCTGCCCTCCAACACTAGCCGCCAGGAATGCAATTGAAATAGCCACCGTGTTGAAATTTCCCCAGACAAATGCAGTTAAGCTCATGATATGGGACCCGGCACTATAGAGGGACCCTTTCCATTTAGGCGAGGTGGGTGGACGGTCAAGCCGATCACACTCCTCATCTGCCGATTCAGATTCCAATTCGTTTGGCGCCTTCGGCAGAGTCTCCGGGATAAGTATGGCTGCCAGTAAGCCGCAACCTTCACAGAGCCAGCCGAGCAGGAATGGAAGCCACGGCGACCAGGACATAAGCCAAGCACTCAGAGGTGTTGCAAGGATCTCGCAAGTAGGACAGCCGCAAAGAGCACGAAGAATATGTTTGCACTGGACAATGCATAGAAATTAGTATATCCATTACAAATAAGGAGGGGGAGGGGCATCTCTATACCGCTGTTCTGCGGGAAAGATATCTGTGACAACGGTGAAGGCCACAGAGCTGGCTATTTGAGAACCACCACCACATAATTGAAATAAAGGCGTGAGCCAGATGGCTCGAGGGGGAATTGCTTCACTGTATAAGCCTTGGGTAGTTAGTCAGAGGACACACATGCTATGCTAAGTGTCGTCACGACATACAGATGATGCGGATCGCGATCTCCTCCATGAGGAGTCCGCTCATACTTAGCATCGCAACAGGCTTGCGGCCAATGCGATCCAACAGGAAGCCCAATGGCAGGGCAAGGATGATTCCCGGGATCTGGTCCAATGTATCTTTCCATCCACTGATCAATGCCAGCTCCCCCTGTACATCTACAGATTTGCAGGGTGTATCATCTGACAAGAACTGCCCATGTGGGAGGTCGATAAACAGTCCTGGATGAAACCTGCGACAGATGATTGATTCCATAATCTGAGTCTGTGGAGCAAGGGAGAGGAAAGTGCCAAAGTCAAGTGTGACAATTACCGTGCATAAGAGAAATAGGATCCATCGCTTGTGCTGGTGCTTGTACTCGACATGCGCTCCGGTTGGATGGGTTCCTAAGAGTGGCGTTGAGATCTCGGGATCCTGATCGGATACCATCCTCTCTTTTTTCGATGTTTATTCTTGTCCAGGGCGGAGGCTAATAGTTACTATTCGAGAGAGATCACACCCGGGCTTTAGTAGGCCCTAAACAATGGACGTGGGGAGGGAAGAGGAGGAGAGGTAGAAAGGCGGATGCGAAAAATAAGCACTAAGACAGGGTTCAAGAATAAATGACATAAGGAAAACTCATTTCCCAAATGTCAGCCCCCAACAGATTGACACGTCAAGTCACTAATGAATGGTATCACTGCTGTGAACTTTTGTATGAATTAGTTGATTTGGCTGACCCTTGGGGCATTTTGGCTACCTTATAAGTTGGGGGAGTCAAGTGATTTAGGGTTGGTTCTTTGAACGGGGCTTCTCATTGTACACTTTCAAAGGAACAATACTAAGGGCAAATCTATCACTATAAGCGATAGTTTTACGGTCCTTTAGTATCTACGGCCTTTTCTTTTTTTTAATTCGCTACTAACCCAAACTAAAGCGCAGTGTCAGCTACATCGAAGACGCAAAGTGAGATGAATGGATCAGGCTGATTGGGCGTGCGAGGTACCACTAATCAAAAGGTCTGGGCTGATCTACGATAGTATGTAAAGTTGGCTTTCTTGAATACTCAACCTCTCCTTCCAGTCAATCTTATGTATATGGCCCATAAATATAATAACATACGAGCTTGACGTTAGTCCTACCAAGTACTCAAGCAATGTAACTACTATACATAATGGCCAGCATACAGGAGATCCTCCATATCCTGTGGGACTAGTCAACATCCTAGACGGATTTGACTTGGATACAATTAGTATGTTTCTCTAGAGGTCAAAAGAGCCTCATTCCAATATTCTCCCTCCGGCCATAGGGAGATATCATCATCATTTTAACCTCAAGATGTCCTCGTGATTGATTTATTCCACCCCTGGACGAAATAACAAAAGATATCTACAAGCCCTCTAGCCCCCTAGAGTCATATTTAGCCTCTTGCTTATTGCGGACCAGTTGACGACATTTTCAGCTGGGTAAGTGAAGGTGGTGTCTGTAGGTTTGGGGGGCAGATTGATGTCAGAAGTGAACCCCAACCATCACAGAACCAACTCAGACTTGGATCGCTACATTGCTGCCAGCTAAGTCCTATGGTTTTACCTCTTTAAACGCACCCGTAAAATTCGAAGGAGACTGATTCATGCAGTCACAGTGGGCTATATTTCTCCAAGTGAAGGTGCTGTCATGAAAATCTCACAATTTTCCGTAGATGTAAACTATTATGGGAACATTCCACAGGATCGGGATGCTACGTGTCGTAGCTATAGGGCTAGTAGCCCAGTCTATTATTATAAAGACATTCGATATCTATCGCACTATGGTCGCTCAAACGATACCATCTAAATCACATAAGACATGCAGCCATCATCGCCATCTACACCAACAAAACACAAAAGGCAATCATAGCAGCTACAATTTAGTCATCAGCATCAACCCATACTAAGGGCCCCTTCTTGTCCGACCGCATGTCCTCTGTGGCGAGCACCCGAAGGGTTTTGTTGAAGTATGTATCCACCACGACCAGTTGTGGTTGTATCCATAGCCCCCGTCTAGATGCCAGTAGGTTGTACCGAACCGTGTGTCGGCTCAAAGGCACCAGCTGAACCACCAGCGTTTTTGGGCCACTAAAGGCGAAGTTTTCGCTGGCTTCCATAGTTAAGTTGAAGGTAAGGAAGTGCATCGACGGATTCTCGATGGTGTAGTCTAAGTGAATCAATCCTGAACGTATCTGGGAGGCCATTGCCGAGGCAAGCACACGTGGTTCTCCTCCAGGAATGACAAAGCGAGGAACCGCAAGTGTGGATATAGTCGTACCGTTGCTGCTCAGGGCCGATTCACTCTCATCGGTTGCGCTTCGTCGCCATTGAATCTCGAGAGCGAGATTCAGCGCTGTAGGTCGTCGGTCGCCTAGAATTTCCTTGTGGATATCCACCACAAAATTGGATTCGCGAAGCTCCTCTAATTTGATCTCCGGCCCGCCTGGACTAACGATCGCTTCAGGGCCGATGTGGCAGGTGGCACCTCCACCAACTCCAACTAGCACCAGTGATATTTTTTCAATGACAAGCGGCGTCAGCGCAAAAGAAACGACTTTTGAGTTGAGGCACCACCGCTGCTGCAAGCCCCCAATTTTCGGTGTTGAGTCATTTCCAAGCAATGCATCATCGACAGTAAAAAAATCTGGCCATGGTTGAGGATGGAGACGTGGCATGAAATCGTAGTTGGCCTCGAATGGTCGTATTATTGGTATTTTCACTCTCAAGGTTGCGATGATGGGAGTCTGGGTATCAGATATGAGATTGTATACAGATGAAATTTCAAGCTCGTAATCAGAAGCATCGTGTGTATCCGTGAGGACAATTTCCAGTTCCCGGTGGGAGGAAGTCTCCAATATCCCAAGAGGCCGCTTGATGAAATGAGAAATGCCTTCCACTGGGGTGCTCCTCTCGGAGCCCTGTATCCCTGGCGAGTCCTCCTCGTCAAGCCATAAGACCTTAGCTGCCGATTCTGGTCGACCAAAAAGCCTAGCCTCGGCTGTAACTTCCGCAGCCTCATCCTCCTCATTGTGGATTCCAACCTTGAGGACAATGCGTTCATTCGTGTAGTAAGTATCCATCAGGTTGGGAGTTGTGATACGTATCTTGGGCGGTTTAGGCTTTATCCTACATCTGCCAGTGTCTCGACTCTTGCCTACCCTCCTTCGAGCCACACCGTTGTTGGTTTGTTTCCACCAGAAAGATTCACGTTGGGTCAGGTCTGTCATGGCACAAGTCAGGTCGAATTTATTTTCTTCAATCAAAAGTGTGATCGAAGCCACTCGAGACTCCCCGGCTTCTCGAGGGATACAGGCCACGTTGAAGACTTTTGTTTGAGAAGGGCCAATGGTCAGATCGGCAGTTCCAATGAGTGGTGTTAAGAAACTAGTCGGTGACTGGAGGGATGCCGTATCACTTGATGTGCTTGGCTCTCGTAGTAACGGCGACGATATTGTGCAAGGAGTCGTTGCGTCCGTTTCAGCTACCTGGCTTGACTGTAACTTTATTGGACGCAGGCAGCCTTCGAAAGCGATTTTGATCTCAGAAAGTCTTATAGGGCTTGATGATCGTTGCGCGCATGATGTTATGACGAGCTGGCCATGCAATGGCTCGCCAACATTTCCCTCGGGTCTCTCGAAAATAAAAGACGCCGTGACTAGTGCGAAAGGAAAACCATGCCATCGTAAGTCATTATCGTGAACTATTACTCTGGGCACACTCACCACTCGATATAATATCCTCCGCTCTGAGAACAACAGAGGGTTTGGGTGTAACTGGTGTAATATCCTCAAGGCTTCCGTGGATATCGTAACACCAGTCGGATTTTGGTTGAAATGCTGGCAACAAGCAAGTGTTAGAAAACAAGTTTCCGGTTATGAAAGGTACGACAGGAGGTATATTGCAAAGCAACTAGAGTCGAAAACACGCCTTACCGCTGTTGAGTAGCTCCCAATCCACTCGTAAAATTGTTTCGCTATCTTGTACTCGTACAGCACACTCCCTCAAAGCCCATCCGAATCTTTCCATAAGCTGCCACCAGCCCGAATGCCGCCAAGTGATGTTAGGCCAAAGTGGCTGAAGTATATTGTAGGCTTCGGTCCAGGAACCTGCCCGCATGTGTTCCTCCGCTATCTCCAACCTCAGGCACTCGGTCTTTCGCACCTGGTCACGCTTGGAAAATTCATCTAGTGCGGCATTCAATGCTGTCAGAATTAGGGCGGAATGATTGAATCCCGCCACCCCTGATTGGGGTGCTTCAACATGAGTCTCCGGTGCCAAGTATGTGTCATATAGGTAGGACTTGCTCGCTATCTGCGAAGCAGGAGACTGCCCAGGTGGTATTCTGTCCTCATCCGGAATCTGCTCTGCTAGATCCCGTCGGTACATTGTATGCTTTGCTGATCGATACAGCCAATAGCCTTCGTGGTGTAGTTGTTCCCACGGACAGGACACATCTCCGGGAGGGACCGTCTTTTCACGGGGGATGAAGATTGAATATTGTTCGTTAAACTGATTCTGTGTGATGCCTACTGAGGTGAAGTATGGAATCTCGGCTTGACGAATCAGTTGTGCCATTACCATTGACCATCTGGCTTCCCAAGCCTCCCAACCATAGTTCCTTGTGCCTTTACCTCTCCGGTTGATGATATCTTGTGACCGACTTCGATGTTCCACCCAAGACCGTACGGCTGCAGCGGTTTGTCCCGTCCAGAGCAAACAACGAATAATCCGTATGGCTAAGGTATCTGCCAGAAGGCGTGCATCATTGAACCTCGGGCTCCAGCCAGCAATATTCTCGAAGACTTCCTGCCCAAACAAAGTCTCGTATGCACTTTCGTAGTTCCGAAGAGCTGCATCTATCTCCTGCCTGAATTCTGCAAAGATCCCCATTTTGAATTCGTACCGGACATTCCACCCTTGAAGAGATAAGGTTTGCGATGTCCCCGTTGTCGGTGGAGCCGTCGGGGGAGGAATACTACTCCGGTTTCGTTTCCGTCTTGCGTGTTTAGACAAATCCCGATAGTATTCCATCAGCGACGGTTGAAGTAGTGTTAGAAGGGACTTCCCAAACTCTTTTAGTTCGTCGGGTGTTGCGTCAGGTGGGAGAAGAAAGATAGACTTCTGGTCCAGATTTGTCGCTCTGCGAATGCCGGTCACCCGGTCATCGACATCCCCAGTGAAAGCACCATTACTTTCCTCCGAAAGGAGAACAACGATAAATCGCGTCTTATATCCCGATGAGGACCAGTCCTTCTTCAGTCCATTGATTTCTATCTTTAGTTGATTGTCGCGCAATGAACTCATATTTGGATCTAGGCAAAAGGGAAAGAAGTTGATCACAGCGGCAGGGACAAGGTTTTGGTGTTTTGTAACCCATAGGGGTGTGAGTAAGCCATCTGAAAACGTCGGCGAACTAGGCGTCAG